TGTGTGAGTCTTTGCATCTTCTATGTGAGTCAGTGGGTCTCTATGTGAGTCAGTGGGTCTCTATATGAGGCTGTGTGAGTCTTTGCGTCTTCTATGTGAGTCAGTGGGTCTCTATGTGAGTCTTTGTGTCTCCTATGTGAGTGAGTGGGTCCCTATTTGAGTCGGTGGGTCTCTATGTGAGTCTTTGTGTCTCCTATGTGAGTCAGTGGGTCTCTATGTGAGTCAGTGGGTCTCTATATGAGGCTGTGTTCTCCTATGTGAGTCTATGCGTTCTCTGTGAGTCTCTATCTGTGTGCGTCTTTAGATTCTTATTTGAGTCAATGTGTCTGTGAGTCTATGCGTTTCTACGTAAGTTTGTGTCGCTATGTGTCAGGGCGTCTCTATGTTAGGCGTTGTGTCTCCTATGTGAGTCAGTGGGTCTGCTATGTGAGTCAGTGGGTCTCTTTGTGTCTTTATGACTCCTATGTGAGTCAGTGGGTCTCTTTGTGTTCCTGGGTCTCTATGTCTTTGCGTCTCCTGTGTCAGTCTTTGCATCACGTATGTGAGTATGCGTGTCTGCGTGATTCTCTGTGTCTCTATGTGAGTCAATGTCGAGGCCTGCTGGCCACGATGAGAGGGCTTCAGGAGAGATACCGCGTAGTTTTGTGATTCCTCCTCCGTTGAAGGAGCGCAGGCTACACTGGGTTTATCATACAGTTCATCGTATGGGTTACATGGCCACAATCACACAATTGTGGCTTGTGTCTTTAACGTATCTGTATGTCTCTGTGTATATATTTGCGTCTCTGTGTATCGCTTTGGGTCTCTGTGGATCTGTATCTTATCCCTCCGTATGGCTGATGTAGACTCAGAGCAGCAACTACAATTTCACGTTTAGGTGGTCAAACCATACAACAGTGTCAGGAGCCGCAGAGTAGTGTATCATCACTCTGATGTCTCCTTCGTATTTGTGGATCGGGGCATTGCGTCGTTATACGCTCTTTGGTCTGTTCTGGATGACCACAGTCGCACCACTACTCCTGGAGATCTATACTCTTTGGTTCTTTCTGTAAAGTCACGTAGGTATAAAATCAAATCATTAAAATCACTTAATTTATTTGATTTTCTACCTACGTGACTTTACCGAAAGAACCAAAGAGTATGGATCCCTGCAGTCATGAAAACTGCAAATCTAGATTATTACTCCTGGAGAGTTTTTAATTTTCCATTTGTGCATCAGGTGTCCGTATCTGCTGCCATGGTTTTGTGCAGTAGATGCGATTTAGAGGTAGACCATGAGTTTCTCGGAAGATCAAAACCAAGGGATCGTGTGCGTTGTGTCTCTTGCAACAAGGTGTTTGTGAGTTCTTTTGAACTCAGCTTGCCAAGCTTCATCAGGATTGAACACGCATTGTTGAAGGTTAAGCACATGGTTGCAAAAGGGGCCTGGCGTGACCCCAAGCAATGATGAGGGATGTTATGGAGGCCCTTGTGAATGGGAAAGGGCGACTGTTTTCCTCGATTTGCAGGACTTCCGGCAGCGTTGCGGCAGAAGGGTGGGGTAGGGATGTGCTGACAGTATGGGCAGCCCAGGGCGTTGGGGTCAACTTGAGGATGCCAGCGATACACCACCGCATTGCAGTGCTCAGGTGGACATCAAATCGGGTGTGAATATTTCTGGTCCGGATTGGTGCACAGTACTCGGCTATGGAGTACACAAGGGCCATCGTTGATGTCCGTAGCACTGGGTGATGATCCTCCTCAGCTTGTGCTTACCAGTTTCTGGGCTAGGTTGACCCTTTCTTTGGTCATGGTGGCTATCTTTTTCAGGTGGTCGCGGAAGGTTAGCATACGGTCCGACTTCACTCTGAGATAGGTTGGAGTGCAGTCATATCGCACAGCAGTGTTTTGCCGTAGAAAGTCACTTTCAGAGTGTGCTTGGTGCTAGTATTATCAAGATGAAATTGAGTGACTTGTTTTGTGGGGATTTGGCTTGAGTCTCCATTTCAAGAAATATTCCCCCATGGTGTTTAGATCTTGGCTCCGAATGGATTTGTGGTGCCATGGCTTCGAAGCCACTCTGAAAGCGCCACGACCCCCCCCCCCCCCCCCGACCCCCACACTGAGTACACACACACAGCACATACACGCAGTGCCCTCGCGTGGGATTGCTTGGCACAACGGGTTTTAATCCGAAGGATCCCGACGAGGAAAGTCCCACGGTTTCCCGGTGCCAGGGGATTGGCCGACCCTCGCAGGACAGGTCACATCGCGGTGTCCCAGAGTTGGCTTTATAGTGCATGGGCGTAAAGAGGGTTTACCGGGCCAGCCGCTCTGAGTCATTCACAACATCAGAAGCTGGGGTGTAAAAAGCGAGAAAGGCAGACGGTGAAGTCAGGAGAGCACAGCGCCACAACCCCCCCCCCCCCCCCGAACCCCATACCGAATTCACAACTCGCAGGGCGTGCATTCGCCAGTCGGGTGTTATTCCGGATTAACGACGGCGAGTGATGCATTCTTGAGCGCGGAAGGGCTGACAAACGATCGCAGAAGCACCGGCCACAGCGATCCACGTGAGGGCAAAAGGGGAGAAAGCCGAGCTGTTACCAACAGGTAGGTGCACGATTGGCCGCGCGGTACGGCGTGACCCCGGGCTTTTGAAATCAAGCGGGTAAAAGGGGAGCCCGGGGGCCGTTCAAAAAGTTGATCTTCAACATCTTGGCTGACAAGACCCCCCCCCCTGCCGTCCTGCCTTCTGCAGGCGTTCGCAGCATCCATGCGATGCCAGCGAGTGCCGCTACGAGGCAGTGATAGGCGAGGCTTTCTCGTCCTCTTCCCTCCGCCTCTCACGGCGTCCGCGCGACGCCGTTGAGTACAGCTACGAGGTACATGGTAGGACGTTTAAGTGACCGAGAATGTAGGCAGCAGTAGGCTAGGCTTTTCTCGCAAGATACATCCCCCCCCCACCCCAGGTAGTGCCGACTGGGCAGCTTACTTTAAGGGATTCTGGTTTGCGCCGAGAATAAAGGTCAGCACAGAGCATAGGCGGTGCGGTGTCTGCGATTTCTGTGTGGAGCGGCTGCGTTTGCAGGCTGACTCCTGGGGTAGCGGTGGAGGAAACGTGCTGCGAGAATGAAACGCAGAGGGTTGTTCGCGGGATCGCTACCACGTTTGCGCGAGTGAGGTAATTGCGCAATTGTGCGTGGGCATGCGTTTTAACCCCGTGCATCTCCGAGGCCAGCAGCACGAGCATGTCCCTCGGAGAGGACGCTAGCATGGGGGGCCCCCGTCACTCGCGCCCTACCTGCCCAGCGAGGGATGGTGGGGTGGACGTCGGGCCCCACGGATTCTATGTCGCTGAAAGCGGCATATCAAAAAAATGCGCATGACCCGGTTGCTGGCATGCCGCTCGTGTAGACATTGAAGAGCATTGGCGCGAGTTACTGCTGAACCTTGTGGCAATTCATTGTTTGAGGAACCGGTTTGAGCTGGCTTTGTCACCCATAGAGACACGCAGTCGCTTATTGCTCAGCCATCGTCCATATCAGGTGTATTGTTTCGAGGCAGGGAATGGTCCTTGCCAGCTGCAACATCAAGCCCCTTAATCCAGACTCTTGTAGGATGATAATAAGTTCACAAAGGCTGCGCCAGTCTTGGATTGCTTCTGGAGTCCGGCCTCAATGTGCGTCGCCAGACCCAAAACTTGGTCTCAGCAGCTGCGACCAGGCCGGAATTCTGCGCTTCTTATTAAGGGATCACTAATTCAACAAGAGGCCTGATTCTCCAGAGGATGCTGCATTCCAGTGGTTTATAGGTCATGCACAGGAGTGATATTGGCCTATCGCTTTCCGAGTCGTCGGTTGGCTCACCCAGTTTGGGGATTGCAATAACCTTCGCCTTGGGTCGTAGTTGCGTTGCTAGTGACCAGAGTGGAAAGTTGATTTGCCGCTTGGGATCGAAAACCAGGTGCAGATCTTCGGCGGACATCCAGTCAGCGAGGTATTTTCCGTCGGCCTCATCTACTGCATAGCCACACATAGTATGGTGGCTGTTAAAGTCACCAACGTATAGAACTGGGATTGGTGCACTTGGGAGCGCTGGCTTTGGCTATTTTAACTAAAGGCTTTGTACACGTTTGGTAATGTGCAGCTCCCCTATTTTGACGCTGGTGGTGTAGGTGTCTTCTTTTTCAGTTGGTGGGAAGGTGTAGAGCTCTCCGATGGTGTTCTTTTCGCATATGGCCATGCCATATTTCGTGTGGTAGTGGCTCGTCGTGAGGTTATATCCGTGGATGTGGTAGCGACCAGCATGTAGGAGTCATCCAAGATGTGGGTTTCTTACACGCCAGGACATAAATGTTAAGGGTTTCCATTATGGTCGCGAGATACTTGTACATCATCCGGGAGAGTCCCTCAATGTTCAGTTGAGGGATCCTTGTCCCAGGGCTTATCTGTGCCACGTTGTTGTTGCTCGGGAGACCGGGAAGTTGATGATCGATATATACTCGGTCGCCGCATTGATGGCATTCGTCGTGATTTCTTACTTAACACAGTGGGCCGTGTGAAGGCTGCCATCTTCCACCCCATGGATTTCTATGCATCTGTGTCACTGTGTGTGGGTGGAGGGTCACGCAGTCCCCTATGGAGGGGAGGGGTGGCACATTTTTTTACAGAGTGCGGAAGGCCTAGCTAATAAGTGTTGTACTGTAACCGAGCCTATTAATGTGAACTGAGAACCGTGGTCGTGGAGTAACAGTAATTGTGGAGTCTGATGATGTTAAGGAGGGAGAACCAACTACCGCTTCCTCCTGCGTTGTGTCCCACCAGCTGGGCTGCAGTTAGTCAGCTTTCTGAATGTTGTTGTAGGTGGTGGCTCCGCATGCTGTGGGTCTTGAGATTTGGGGGAGTTTGTTTGGCTTTAGTCCCCTCTGCAGCAAGGCGAGGTGTTGTACTTACCCCCATCCCATGTAGGAGTGGTGGTTGGTCACGTTCCCGAAGCTCTCTCCAAATTCGCATCCTGGATGTTGACCCATCACCCCCCTGTGCAGCTTCTGATCCCGAGGAAGGGAAGGGAAAGGGGGGGGGCGGTGGGAGGCGGCTGCGAAGGAAGCCAGGCCAGTGCCCGGCCAATTAAGTGGGGTTTTTTTTTTAACGTCGCACTGACCACCACTAAAACCGTCATCGAGGTGAAATTGACGTGGTTAATTTTAATCCGAAGCTCGAATTAAGGAGGGAAAAAAAAAACTCAACACAGAAAAAAACAATTAACGCGGTGTTTGTTGTTGCCGTTGTCGTTCCTGGGCAGTCATTGGTGACCGGAGCTGAGGCCATCAGCTCACCACACCCGTGACCTCGGTGCGATCGCCGTGGTTGGGCGATAACAAAAAAAAGAAACTCCCTGACGATTTTCAGCGGTGCCGGCTCCGGAGCTCTCCACCTCCGAGCCACTCGAATCCAACCACCTCCGAGATGCAGCAGCGTCTGATGAACGCAAGTGACCCCATCAATTCAACGTGGGGCAACGCGACGGGCATCAACGCCGCCGCCAACACCACCGCCGCCGATTACGCGTTCATCGTCGTCATCACATTCGTCCAGATATTCAACATTCTCATGACGCTACCGTCCGTTGCCTTCCTCATAATCACCCTCACCACCGTCCTGGGCAGCGCCGCCCTCCGCGAGAGCTCACGCTACCTCCTCTTCGTCAACCTCCTCGCGTGTGACAGCTGCTTCCTCGTCAACTCCAACGCGATGGCCACCCTCGTGTGGCGCCGGGTGACCATTGCCTTCGTGCCCTGCTACATGTACATCACGCTCGCATCGGTGCTCAACCACGCCGGCGCGATGTTCGTCACCGCCATGTCCGTCGAGCGCTATGCGGCTGTCTGCCACCCGCTGCGCTACCACGGCTGGTTCGGTCTGCGCGCCACCCTCCGCGCCATAGCCTGCATCTGGTCTGCGGCGAGCGTGTGCCCGCTGGTGGAGGCCATGCTGGCCTTCTCCGGTGGAAGCTCCGACGAGCCGAGCCTCGACCAGACGTCGTTATGCGTGCCGAATCGGATCGACTCGCTGCTCCGCCACCGGACGGCGCTGGTCGCGCTCCGGGAGCTGGCGAACAGCGTCACGTTCATAACGAGCGTCGCCGCGATGCTCTTCACCTACACGCAGATCGTGAGGGCGGCCAGGAAGAGTGCAGCGTCTGGAGGCAGAGGAGGAGGTGACGGAGGTAATAATAATTTTTAAATAACAATTTAAATTTGTGATGCGGCGCGTGTCAGCCGTAGATCCCACCAATGCACCACCGTGTAAGGAAATGTACGTGTGTTGAACTTATTTCGCACCATACATAGCCAACCGTGCTAATCGGAGGTGCGGGAAGCAGGAAATAAACAAAACCTGCAGGGAAAACTGCCAGAACTATAGGGGGGTAAAAGCGAGTTTCAAGATAGACTTGAGTACTGCTCACGATTCTGATTGTCTTCTTAGCAGTCTGGGAGTTGCAAAGTGGCAAAATCTCAATCACACCAGGACCAAAACCCTGACCTTGGAGTACTGAGAAGGCGATCAAAAGATCTCAGTGACCTCGTTGGGCTAAGCCATTGAGAGCCTTGTAGTCAGCAGCAGATGAATCTTACAGTCGGCCACTCCATACTTGACTGGTAGCCAGTGCAGAGAGACAAGAGAGTGGGCGTGTGATGATGATAATGACGGTATGCCCACGAAGCGGTGTGGTGTGCATAAGCACTCTAGCCGCTGCATTCTGAACGAGCTGGAGTCTAACCCAGCGGCACCTCGCTCGGAATCCCGAACAGGTGGTGGTGGTGAAGGAGATTTGAACTCCGCGCGCAGGGCACGCAACACGGTGGCTCTCCATGGCCTCCAGCTGCTCCTCTACCTCAGCGCGCTGGGCAACGAGGTCTTCCTGCTGCTCCTCGTCTTCGTGACGAGCAACGCGAAGATATTCACTCTCTGCAGGATCTCCCTCTACATGGTGCTCTTCGTGACCTCCCGAATGGTCATTCCGCTCGTCTACGGCCTCAGAGACCAGGAGCTCAGGAGGCAGCTGAAGAGGAGGCTGGCGTGCGGCGCTTCAGGAAAAGTGCGGCAAAGTTTGATGCATGGGCCAGCAATGTCCTGATGGTGGTGGCGGAGGGAGGAAGAGAGAGGGATATGGGGGGAAAAGGAGGGATAAGGAGGGTGGTACTAAGTCGTCGTCTTGCTCTATTTAAGGCCAGAAGCAGGTGGATGGATTCACTATTCTGGCAAATCGCCCGATGATGTTGGATGCAATTACCAGCGAAACGTCGTATTCAAATTGTAAATGTTGTGGATTTACTCTCCAACACACAAACGGTGGGCTGCAGTAGTATACTACACTATAGACTATACTAGTAACTAATTGGCGCGTTGTTTACGTGACAAACTTTACTGGCTGTGTCGGGTGGTGGAGGGTTACGACACATTTATACTTAAAGTGATCTAACCCAAAAACCTTTATTATGAACACATTGAGTTGCAGGACTCTTTCTCTGGTGGTTACCAGGAGAAAACTCACATGTATGAGGGGACAACGCTATATCCCCGTACAGATGGAAACAGGTTAGTGCACTCGACGGGGCGAGGTTTGGGAAATCGACTGAGCTTTGAGAGGACAAAACACGACACTTCGTTACAGTCTGTGTCCTATAATGCATGTTGTTTTCATAACGGAAATTGGATATAACGCAATGAATGTATTATAGGGAACAATTTTTTTTATAACACGGATGCGAATTGGATATAGTAACACGATCGAGTCAACATAACTACATCGCGTGAGTAGGAACAAGCAGTCGTAACTGCTACCTCGGTGTAGCGTACTCACCACAAGGCTGCTGGATGCTCCTAGAAGCTAATTGTTCAGTCCTGCTTTGCCCGATATTATATAACATTTCCAGAATAATGCTCACACATTAATAATGCCGTTCACGACCCGCGTGTATTGGCATAAAAGGTTTGACCCAAGGCCGTAATTATAATATATATTGGGAGACACACATCCCCCCCAATATTCAAATATGCTCAAAATGTCCCCCCCCCCCAATATATTGCTATAAAATAGATTTGTTTATATGATTGTGGTTATGGTTGTACTTTATTAATCCTTAATCTCTGCTATTATATACAATGAAACAAGAAAAGGTAAGAAAGAAAAAACAGAGCAATGTAATACAATACACTATTAGACATTATTGTAACAAATAAATAAGAAGTTAATCCTATGTGTTAGTTAATTTTTTTGTATATTTTAGGCAGGAAATTCATTTTCAAATTTAGATTTTTTTTTCTGGGAGGGGGAACCCCTGCAAGACTTGGTCCCCCCTAATGTTGACTCCATGACTACGGCCTTGGTTTGACCAAATAAATCTCCCCAATGATCGACACGGCCTTGCTATATCTTCATCCAGCAGTGGATAGAAAACGAATACTATTAAATATATGCATTTTAACTGCGTATATTTACGTAACGATGAAAATGTATTCTCAAGATCGAAGTACTTGCATCAAATAACGCGTGAATGGATAATTATCTTACGTGTAGGAGCCCTGCCCTATCCCTCTCTGGATCGTAACGAGGGGGACAGGTCGGCTCAATAGGCAACAATAACAATACAGTTCGATGACTAGTAGACACTCAGCGTTGTGTTCTGTCCTCCTGGGGAAGTCGAGCGACTCCACAACGGATGGGCACCGGAGGTTCGTGAAACGGCAACGGCGCTTCGGAGCCACGTGCTCTCTCGCGGGGAGCCACGTGCTCTCTCGCGAGGAGCAGCCACGTGCTCTCTCGCGAGGAGCGGCCACGTGCTCTCTCACGAGGAGCAGCCACGTGCTCTCTCGCGGGGAGCGTCCACGTGCTCTCTCGCGAGGAGCGTCCACGTGACTGCAACCGTCACCAGACACAGCCCCTCCCACATCACCCCGCACGTCACACGGCTCGGTCCCCAAAATCTGAATTGGTGGAGGGGATGCCCCGTACTCTGAATAGTCTGCGCACTGCTGGGTGTGCCCCGTACTCTGAATATTCTACGCACTGCTGAGCTTGGCCTGCTATGCACGTGCTGCTTGGGATCCTATCTCTGATCATCATTGCATATCCCTTATGCCGTCATAAAAAAACGCACGTGGCTCTCCATAGAACTTACAGCAACACGTAGCAGAGTGCACAATTATACGTGCGATTAATCACAGCTACGCTCAGTGGGATTATGGGTATTTTGTCCCAGTATATAATCTACACAACCCTCCTCCGCCTGTCATATATCGATGCTGCATGTGCCACAAGAGAGAGAGGATCCACGTGATTTGTGAATGCAATTGTGATCAACTAATCTTGATAATATATATATCTCAGGCGAGTCAAATCGGCACATTCCGAATACAGGGACTCCTCTACTTACGAACGAGTTAGGATACAGATGTAGGTGTTTGTATGCCGATTTGTTCCCAAGTCCAACTATACTGTCAATTCCAAGAATGTTGTACGGCACGTACACTAAACACAGGGAATGGCTTTAAAAGTTGTATATTCTCCTTTAGATGCCACTGTTTTTTTAATGTTCTGCAGATGTAGATGCCACTGGTTCGTCATGTTGCATCTGCATGAAAAACGGACAGGTTTGTTCGTATCTCTGAAAGTTCGTAAGTCAAATGTTCTTAAGTAGAGTCCCCGTACCTCACACAATTAACCCCTTTCCCCCTGGTACGATGATGTACATGGACGTACGTGAACCTCTATTTTACTCTGAATGTATTGGTGACTACAACAAAATGTACGACGGTCACAAACTGCATTGCTAAGGAAGAACTAAGGGTGGGACAACACCCTAAATGACGCAAGTCAATTCCATCACCTATTTTTATTACACGCTTTCTATTAACTCAGTCTGTTGTTGTATCCTCAAATCTTGTAACTCAATTTTAACCAACTTCCCAATGTGCTATCGACTGCAAACTTGGCATACTTATGTCATACTGATGACAATAATGTATTCTATCATAAAATATATTTTTAAACATTCTTTTTTATGTTTTGTTTCGGCTTGGTTCGAATTGTCTTACACGTTTTTTGTTGTTGTATCCTCAAATCTTGTAACTCAATTTTTACCCACTTTCCAATGTGCTATCGACTGCAAACTTGGTATACTTATGTCATACTGATAACAACACTATATTCTATCATTAAAAATATATTTTTAAACATTATTTTTTGTTATGTTTCGGTTTGGGTATAATTGTCCACGCTCAATTGACGTTGGCTGTAAATCACCACGGTCGTCCCCTTACGTTGTGGCAAGCTTCGGGCCCACTTCCTGGAGTCGTGGAGTTCTGCCATTACTCGTACGGTACATTTCATGAAAGCGTGTTAAAAATGTTTTTTTTTTAATATTACTTATTTGTTTATTAACGCAGAATGGGATGTTTCTGCTGTATACCCGCCGCTGCGTACGTGTGAAAAGTAGCACTGCAACGCGTGTGATGCGGCTCTCGGAACTATTTTGGTCAAAGGCAAATGACTAAAAAATGTCTCTCCTCCTTATTCTCTTTCTTCTTTGAAAGGTTGGCCGACCCCCCCCCCCCTTGCTCTCGAGCAAAAGTTCTTAACCTGGGGTGCATGCACCCCTTGGCGGTGCGAGACGCCCTTCTTGGGGGTGCGAGACGCCCTTCTTGGGGGTGCGAGACATGGCCGTTTTCTTTCTTCAGAAAGCAAATAATCGAAAACACAAATGAAGCACGGGCACGTAAGCACAACTAAATTGTTTCATCAAACCCTCTGTATTTATTAGCATCGTACATTTTCTCGCGATTGAGAACCAAGCAAGGCTTGCGGTAAAGGTGAAGGACCGCGCTGCTCTAGAGCAAGGTTTTCATCCTCGAGTGCGTCGCCGAATGCCTATTCAAAGCCGACATCCTGCTGAACGCCTTCCCGCACTCCCGGCACGCGTGCGGCCTCTCGCCCGTGTGCGTCCCGTAGTGCGCTTTCAAGCTGGAGCGCTGCGTGAAGCCCGCGCCGCACTCCTCGCAGACGTGCGGCCTCTCGCCGGTGTGCGTCCGCGCGTGCCTCTCCAGGCCGGACAGCTGCGCGAAGCCCTTCCCGCACTCCCCGCAGGCGTGCGGCCACACGCCCGCCCTGGCCCTCGCGTGCGCCCTCGCGTGCCTCTCCAGGCCGGAGCGGTGGGCGAAACCGCGGCCGCACTGGTCGCACGCGTGCGGCCACTCGCCCGTGTGCGTCCTCGCGTGCTCGTCCAGGTGGTAGCGCCGCACGAATCCCCGGCCGCACACCGGGCACGCGTGCGGCTTCTCGCCCGTGTGCGACGCGCGGTGCTCCTCCAGGTGGTAGCTCTGCGCGAACCCCCTGCCGCACTCCTCGCACGCGTACGGCCTCTCGGCCGCGTGCCTCTTCGCGTGCGCCTCCAATTCGGCGGGCCGAGCGAACGCCCGGCCGCACTCGGCGCACGCGTGCGGCCTCCTCCTCTCCGCCGCGTGCGACGCGGAGTGCAGCTCGAGGTTGTAGCGGTGGGCGAACGCCCGGCCGCACTCGGCGCAGGCGTGCGGCCTCCCGCCCGCGTGCGCCTTGGCGTGCTTCTCCAGGTTGGAGAGGTGCGCGAAGCCCTTGCCGCACTCGGCGCAGGCGTGCGGCCACTCGCCCGTGTGGGTCCGCGCGTGCGTGCTCAAATTCGAGAGCGTCGCGAACTCCTTGCCGCACTCCTGGCAAGCGTGCGGCTTCCTCCGATCGGCGGCGGCGGCGGCGGCGGTCGCGGCGTCTTCGAGCGCCTTCCCACAACGTGCGCAGGCTCGGGGGATCTTGTCGTCGTCGTCGTCGTCGTTACTGTCATCGGCATCGTCGATGCGCTGCGCTTTGTCCACCGTTGTTCTGCGGCCTCTGCCCTTGCCGCACTCCTCGCACAGCGGTTCTGTCGTCGCCATCACTTCGTCCGCTGTAGCGCGCGCGTTAAACAAAAGGGTGCAAACGCGACGGCTCAACTTAACCGATGCGCTGGAAAAAAAAAACCTACGATGAATGTGAGATACGGTCACCGGTAAACGTTGTACGGCTTAAAGCTTTCGTGACTGCAGGAGTTCATGTTCTTTGGGTCTTTTGGTAAAGTTACGTGGAACATTTCTTTTTACAGAAAAACTACGACGTTTCGATCGCAACACAAGCAATCGCATTGTGATCGAAACGTCGTAGTTTTTTGTAAATGTTTTTGTTCTACGTGACTTTACCGAAAGACCCAAAGAATAACATTTTATGGTTTTTATACTCTTTGGTTCTTTCGGTAAAGTCACGTAGATAGAAAAACTAATAAATCACGACGTTTCGATAGCAGCACAAGCCATCGTATTCAGGTGAATACAGCAGGCGGACTGCTGAGGCAGGAGGAAATGTAGCGAGAGCTACTGCAACCACAGGTTATTTACGTTTGTGGTAGGTACAACCCAAGGGTAAGTGGGCGGGGCTAGGGATGGAATTTGCAAGTAAATGTAAGATCGCAGAGCTAGCATACCTTGGCTAATCCGAGGGGACATGACTTCAACCGAGAAAATGGATGCAAAATTTTGCAATCTTTGGAAGGACGTTGATCAACCAGGTATAGTGTTAACTTTTGTGTTGGCCGACTCTCTGAGATTACATTTCTAAGTTTGCCAAGTTTGATTTATTTTTTCTCTCTCTCACCTTGTTCCCTCTGTAAATTTCACCCCCACCCTTTCGCCCGTTACGGCAGCCCCTCCCCATCCCTAGCCCCGCCCACTTACCCTTGGGTTATACCCACCACAAACGTAAATAACCTCTGGTTGCAGTAGCTCTCTCACTACATTTCCACCTGCCTCAGCAGTCCGCCTGCTGTTTTGTTTCACCTGGAGAAGATGGCATGTGCTGCTATCAAAACGTCATGATTCACTAGTTATGTTTTCTATCTACGTGACTTTACCGAAAGAACCAAAGAGTATGAATTCCTGCAGTCACGAAAGCTTCAAATCAAGATTGTATGGTTTGTTCATTTTATGCGTAGGCTTTCACGGGCAATGTCATTTGAGTTTTGGTTCGACGACCACTTAGGTACGATGTCCAGAAGGGATGGCACCAGTGTGTATGTACATTGAACTTCTTTCGCACCGTACGTAACCAAGTGTGCTAATCGGTGGTGTGGGGAAAGACAACACACTAAACACAAAAAGCAGTTCTAAAGAAATGAGTTTTCAAACTACATTATGATTTAAAAGTGCATCATAGCTCCAAGTGGCTTCCTAATATCGGAAGGAAGACCATTCCAGATGGCCACAGAAGCGCATCTGAAAGCGCCGCTCGATGATGCGGTGACCATCGTCTTTGTTCCATGGCCAGCCAAAAGTCCCTGCTGCTGCTGCTACGAGGATGACCAGAGTTGGCGTGGTGATGATGGTGAATGCTCCTTGATGAGATCAGCGAGTGATTGTGGTTCTTTTTCTTCCGCTCACGCCGCGATTTCCAGCAGTAGCACGACTGCGACGTATGGTCGGTGATGAAAACAAAACAAGATAAGCGTCGCGATTGCTCTGTGTAGCCATCAGACGGGGACTCTCACCTTCACCCGTGTCCTCCACCGATAACTCCACCTCGATGAAGTTCTGGTCCGGAGCATCCGCAAGTCCACGGCAATCGCCCGTCTCATCCAGCTGGCTCTCGCCAGCTCCTTCGACTTTAACAAACTTCACATCTGGAGCTGTGATTTGGAAAATGGGAGTGCGTGGTGGGGAGTAGAGTGAGATGAGGGGGGGAGAGAGATCGGAGAGTGCGTGGAGGGGAGTAGAGATGAAAGGGGAGAGGTAGGACAGTGCGTGCCCGTAGACTCAACACTGTCCAAAAACTAACACTCTCCATAGACTTGATTTGGAGCTTTCGTGACTGCAGGAATTACTCTTTGGTTTTTTCGGTAAAGTCACTAAAAAATAAGAAATAATAAAATAACATAATAGCGTACGACGTTTCGGTTGCAACACAAGCAGCCATCATCAGGTACAGAAGAGCTAAATTTACGAGAGAGAGGAAACACAGAACCCCAGATGTATATACAGACACCCAAGTAGGGGGGAACTAACACAGATACAACAGAGGACACAGAGAGAGAAGCATACTAAACAAACAGGGTTTAGCAAAATTTGGAAACCATATAAAGCAACACAGACGGTCGGTCAAACACAATTAACGTATAGTCTGGTTGATTACGCTATTTCAAAGATTGCTAAATTGCAAGTTAAGTATGAAATTTTAAATACAGACCGCGCACACACACACATAGACATCCCAATAGAGCGAACCAGCACAGACACGCACAGTGAAGTCGCCTTAAATAGGCAGAGAAGGTAAGGCTGAGAGACAATGGGACAAATTAGCATGAGGTATGCATGGAGCAAAGGGGGCGTGGCAGCACACACTCGGAAACACCAAGGCCCACACACAGGCAGAGACAGCACAGAGACACAAATCCAAGCCAAGACACAAAGGCAGATACACAAGCAGATACAACACAAAGACACAGACCTCATACCTCCCCGTAGAGGTGGTTCAGACTTGATTCGAAGCTTTCGTGACTGCAGGAATTACTCTTTGGGTTTTTCGGTAAAGTCACGTATAAATAAGAAATAATAAAATAACATAATAGCGTACGACGTTTCGGTTGCAACACAAGCAGCCATCATCAGGTACAGAAGAGCAAAATTCCTCTCTCTAGTAAATTTAGCTCGTCTGTACTTGATGATGGCTGCTTGTGTTGCAACCAAAACGTTGTACGCTATTATGTTATTTTATTATTTCTTATTTCTACGTGACTTTACCGAAAAAAACCAAAGAGTGACTCTCCATAGATTCAACACTCCCGATAGACTCAACACTGCCTATAGACTCAACACTGCCCATAGACTCAACACTGTCCATTGACTCAACACTGCCCATTGACTCAACACTGCCCATTGACTCAACACTGCCCCCGCACCTCCGATTAGCATGGTTGGCTACAAACGGTGCAAAAGAAATTCAACATACATACATGTGTACGTACAAATCTTGGATTAGTTTTGCCTCCGATTCTTGGCATCTCTGTCTGCCTGTAGGAAGGGGTCTTACCGTCTTCCTCCGCTTCGGTTTTCACCTCCATCCTCAGTGTCTCAGCGCCGGGGCTCCTTTCATCCTCTTGCTTCACGACTGCTCCTGTGCATGAGTACAAAGATCCCTGTGTAGCCTTAACATACTCTTGGGTAAGTGCTGTTAACGAGCACCCATGAAGCCAGCAAAAGCAGACCAGGTGGGTGGGTGGCCAACACCACGCCCGACCGCCTTTGTCTCCCTATTGGCGATGTTTGCACACCGCACCAGGTACTCATCTGAGGCTGAGTCGACCTCGGGGAGGCCCAGATACCGGTTCAGATAATCGTCAACGGCGTTGGCATCGAGTGGAAAACGAACTCGGGTCGCCGGGTTCGTAGTGCAACACGCTAACCGCTACACTACCGCTCCCGTTCACACGCACGTACACACACCAATAACAATACTCGCTATTCGCCACTGAGTGACGGTAACCTCACTTTGGTGCCTGTGCCAGGCCAGGTGCACGTTGAGACCACGTGAAGTGTCAAAGGCTTGCTGACAGGAGGTCTCAGGACAGACCCATCAGGTGCCATGGGTTGGCTGACTAAGATGACTAACAGATGCATCAGCTGTATCCCCTACTGTGCCAACTTACTGTATTTTATCCACTCGGTGCTCCACTCGTTGTTGTGAGCTTCGCTCCTCTGCCCTCAGTTGTTGTTGGAGGGTGACTGCCTCCGACTGCCCAGTAACGTCCTTAACGAGCCTCCTCCATAGTGGCAGATTTTAACACTGCTGGTATCAGTCTTTGGCAAGTCCACTCAACTCCAGATCCTCCTGTACCGCATCAGTCCATCTCTTCTCCAGCCCGTGTCGTGCCCATTTGTCCCCCTCTATGTGGGCAAACAAAAGCTGCTTGGGCATGCGGTGGCTGGGCATGTGGGCTACATGACCCAGTCAACGCAGCCTTACCTGCCGGAGGAACTCACTGATGGGAATGTGTCCAGATCTTTCAATAATTTGTGAGCTCCTCAGACAATCCAGCCTAGTTAAACCCAGGATGGAGCAGGGAGGGCATGACCATGGCCGAGAAGATCCAAATCTTCTTGTCGAGCGACCAGGTAGCTTCCACAAAGCATTACGCAGCCAATGAAAAAATAATGCCGCCTGACTGATTCGGAGTGAGACCTCTGCTGTGAAACTGGAGCTGGTCATGAGCACACTGCCCAGGTATGGAAAACTATCCACTCTCTGCACAACTGCTCCATCACCAATGGGGAGCTAAGGGGGTGGAGTGTTTGATGGCACAATATACCTTGGCAGGTACTTAGTTTTGGTGGGGCTGATGGTAAGACCCCACCTCTTAGTGGCACACTCCAGGTTCAGCAGCAGCATCTCCAACTCCTCTTCTGAGTGAGCAGCAATCACCAGATCATCAGCATACATACCATGGCTGACCAATAGGGAACCATCCCTCGACCACATCCGGCCTCCCATTGTATCTGTACCAGATGGAAATTCCTCAGTTACAGCCATGGAAAATTTATCAAACTACATAGTCAGCAGTTTCCCTGCTGTGATTGTCTCACCTGATGACGGTTGCTTGTGCTGCGATTGAAACGTCGTGATTTATTTTATTTTCTACCTACGTGAGTTTACCGAAAGAACCAAAGAGTATGGATTCCTGCAGTCACGAAAGCTTCAAATCCAGATTACATGGTCAAACATGATATGAAATAATGTAGGAGCCAGAGGACATCCCTGTCGCACCTCAAGTTGGACAAGGAATGGCTCTGACTCCTGGCCACGTAGCTTTACCCAGGCATGGCCACCATCATGAAGGTCCTTAATGATTGTGAGCAGAGAGTCAGGAACTCTGGAAGCATGAAAAACAGCCCACAGCCCTGGCCTATTGATGGTATCATAGGCCTTGACTAGGTCAATAAAGCAGAGATGTAGGTCTTGTTGAAATTACCTACACCTCTGCTGTAGCAGACAGAGAATAGGCATCTGTACAGGACCGCCCTGGTCTGAAACCACATTGGGGCTCCGCAAGCCTCTGCTCAACATGCCTGGAAAGGCGATGTTGAATAATCCTTGCCAGGACCTTTCCCAGCACACTGAGAAGAGACAGATGCTCCTGTAGTTGTTGTAATCCTGCAGAACTCATCCTGTGGTCCAGACAATTGTTATGATGTCATGTAGGGGTGTCTGCACATAGATGCTACCATCCCTCAGAATTTCGCTTGGGAGATCGTCTTTGCCCAGCACTTTTCCTGGTCTCAGATTCCGGATCGCCCCTCAGCCAACCACTCAGAAGGGGTGGCTACTTCTGCCAATATTTCAGGCACCACAGCCCTAGCAGGGTTGTTCCCACCTTGCCCCATGATGTTGTCTGGAATGAGGGATTTCCCCTCTCCTCAAAACCTCACTGAAATGTTCTGCAAACTTGCAGACCTGTTCCAGGGGATTGGAGATCAGATTGCCATTCTTTTCCTGAAGGATGGTGATAGGTGCAGTGCTGCAAGTTACTCTTTTGATGAAATTACATAGTGATTTGTGATTGCGGGCTACTGAGGCAGATTCCATCTCCTCAGCAACTCGGGCCCACTACTCATGGTACTGGATTTGTAAATGTTGCCGTGGGTTTACTCTCCGACATATACTCTAAAAGCATGACGTTGCTTCTAAATGTGGAGGGGAAAAACCGGAGGTACCCAGAGAAAAATCCACGCGACCATGGGGAGACAGAGACACGCAAACACCAAATATACAGGCGAACCTATGACCTCCTGTATACCAGGCGAGGTAGTTAACATCTCGACACAGTGGCACCCATACAAGACATCTCGGTGCATGAGATGTATCTGTGCCCTCTTGTGCAAACACGTGAACATTAATTGGATGCACAGGGCATGCAGAGCAGATCCCTGGAACAGCGTTTGAGTATTTCAAGAGTTGCATTCGGGGTCAAATGCCCTTTTCGCTGCATGTCAATTAGCGCCGTGACTGTTACGTACTAACAACAAATAATAATTGCTTTGCAGCCGACGTTTTGAAGGCAGACTCTCACCAGCGTAAGCAACTGCACGATCCACCGTCAGGTGAGGAGCCACTCCTGGGTTTGGATGCTCTTCCTTTTCCTGCTTGACGAACGGCAATTCGAAGAGCGAATCCATCTGAGGAGGAGCGGAGAAGCTCAATTACCCATCGACGGTTGCCGCTGTTGCCCCCGGCGCCGGAATCTCCCCGTGGTAAAACTCTAAACGCCCATGGGATAGATCGCGGATAAGCAGTCACCCCCTGAAGCTCGTGGAAATTATGGGGACACGCACGAAGACAAAGATCCCCCGTGTAGCCGACAACGGACTGTTGGGTCAAGTGCTGTTAGCGAGCACCTATGAAGGCTACCAGCACTGCAGACGACGGGGTGGGTGGCCCAACACCACGCCCGGCCGCCTTTGTCTCCCCAGTGGCGATGTTTACTACACACCGCACCAGGTACTCATTTGAGGCCGAGTCGACCTAGGGGAGGAGGCCCAGGACCGGTGCAGATAATCGTCACACCGGTGTTGGTGGTGGCTCTGAGGATGAAGTGACCCAACAGTGATGAAAAGCAGGAGAAAAACTGTGTATAGTACTGTAGAGTGTATAGTGTAGTGTGTAGTGTATAGTACTGTAGAGTGTATAGTGTAGTGTATAGTGTAGTGTATAGTGTAGTGTATAGTGTAGTGTATAGTACTGTAGAGTGTATAGTGTAGTGTATAGTGTAGTGTATAGTACTGTAGAGTGTATAGTGTAGTGTATAGTGTAGTTTATAGTGTAGTATATGTTGAATTTCTTTCACGCTGTACGTAGCCAACCGTGCCAATCGGAGGCATGGGGGAAGGACAAAAAATTAAACACAAATATCAGTTCTAAATAAATTCAATTAAGGAAATGGTGTAGTGTATAGTATAGTAGTGTAGAATATAATAGTGTAGTATATTGTATTGTATAGTGTGTAGCGTATAGTTTATGTAGTTTATAGTGTAGTGTGCATTGTAGTGTAGTATGTAGTGTAGTGTGTATTGTAGTGTATAGTGTAGTGTGTATTGTAGTCTAGTATGTCGTGTATAATGTAGTGTATAGTACTGTAGAGTGTAGTGTAGTATGTAGTGTAGTGTGTATTGTAGTGTAGTATGTCGTGTATAGTGTATAATGTAGTGTATAGTGTAGTGTATAGTACTGTAGAATGTAGTGTGTATTGTAGTGTGTATTGCAGTGTATAGTGTAGTATGTAGTGTAGTGTGTATTGTAGTGTATAGTGTAGAATGTAGTGTAGAATGTAGTGTATACTAGTATAGTGTATTGTGTATAATGTAGTGTATAGTGTAGTGTATAGTACTGTAGAATGTAGTGTGTATCGCAGTGTATAGCGTATAATATAGTGTAGAATGTAGTGTAGTGTGTATTATTGTGTATAATGTAGTGTATATTAAGTGTATAGTGTATTATATAGCGTAGTATGTAGTGTAGTATGTAGTGCAATGTATATTTAAGTGTATAGTGTAGTATGTTGAACTTCTTTCACACCGTACGTAGCCAAACCGCGACAGAGGCGTAGGGGGAAGGACAACAGACATTGTGATTCTTAAACGTCTTCTTGTAAGTTTTAATGCGAGGGTAACGCTCAGCCTGTGCGGCTTTACCAGGCGCCTGGGTGTCAATCCACTGCTGGATGGATCATCCACCCACAACCCACCCAAATCACGCCTCGCAGAGGTCGTGCGCAGGTTATTTGACCATACTTCCCCACGCCCTGTCAAGGGCGAGTTGAATGACTCACCACACAGTGTTGTGTCTCTCCCCCACGTCTCTTGTCTCTCTCCACGTCACTGTGTTTGTCTCTCTCCACGTCTCTGTCTCTCTCCAGGTCTTTGTCTCTCTGTGTCTCTGTCTCTCCCCACGTCTCTGTGTTTGTGTCTCTGTATGTCTCCGTCTCTCCCCACGTCTCTGTCTCTCTCTACGTCTCTGTGTTTGTCTCTCTCCACGTCTCTGTTTCTCTCCACGTCTCTGTATTTGTCTCTGTCTCTCTCTACGTCTCTGTGTTTGTCTTTGTCTCTCTCCACGTCTCTGTGTTTGTGTCTCTCCCCACGTCTCTGTCTCTCTCCACGGCTCTGTATTTGTGTCTCCACGTCTCTGTATTTGTGTCTCTCTTCACGTCTCTGTCTCTCTCCACGTCTCTGTGTTTGTGTCTCTCTCCACGTCTCTGTCTCTCTCCACGGCTCTGTATTTGTGTCTCCACGTCTCTGTATTTGTGTCTCTCTTCACGTCTCTGTCTCTCTCCACGTCTCTGTGTTTGTGTCTCTCTCCACGTCTCTGTCTCTCTCCACGGCTCTGTATTTGTGTCTCCACGTCTCTGTATTTGTGTCTCTCTTCACGTCTCTGTCTCTCCACGTCTCTGTATTTGTGTCTCTCTTCACGTCTCTGTCTCTCTTCACGTCTCTGTATGTGTGTCTCTCTTCACGTCTCTGTCTCTCCACGTCTCTGTATTTGTGTCTCTCTTCACGTCTCTGTCTCTCTTCACGTCTGTCTCTCTTCACGTCTCTGTCTCTCTCCACGTCTCTGTCTCTCTGTCCTCGTGTCTCTTGTAGCCTCCCCCCCCCCCCCACATTCACCGTCCAGCGAAGCGGCAAGATGCAGCGCGAGACGCAACAAAACGAACGAGCCCAGCCCTGGCCCGGCCCGGCCGCTCAAGGAGTCCACGAAGTCGTAGATCCAACGAGGGGGCGGTGCCGGCCATGTGGGCGTGACCTGGGGCGGTCACCAAAATGTTGTGTCGTTAAACCCGCCACCACCCGACACAGCCAACTAGTAAGGGGTTGTCACGAAAACAGGAACGTGCCAATTCGTCACTAGTACAGCACTAGTGTGTAGTGTAGTGTATAGTGTAGTGTACTAGTACAGCACTAGTATATAGTGTAGTGTATAGTGTAGTATACTAGTACAGCACTAGTGTATAGTGTAGTGTGTAGTGTATAGTAGTGTAGTGTATAGTGTAGTATAGTATAGTACAGCACTAGTGTATAGTGTAGTATATAGTGTAGTGTATGGTGTAGTGTGTGGTGTAGTGTATAGTGTAGTGTGTGGTGTAGTGTGTAGTGTAGTGTATAGTGTAGTATATAGTGTAGTGTATAGTGTAGTGTATAGTGTAGTGTATAGTGTAGTGTATAGTAGTGTATAGTGTAGTGTATAGTAGTGTATAGTGTAGTGTATAGTAGTGTATAGTGTAGTATAGTACAGCACTAGTGTATAGTGTAGTGTATAGTGTAGTGTATAGTGGAGTATACTAGTACAGCACACCGGTGTGTTGGCGAGCCAAGCCACAACATTTACAATCCGAGTACGACGTTTCGCCAGTAACCACAACCAGCTTCATCAGGCGACAGACAGCCTGTGCTGTACTAGTGACGAATTGGCCACGTTCTGTTCACGTGACAACCCTTACTCGTTGGATGTCTGGTGGTGGCGGGTTTAACGACACATTTATATATTTTCGCGATCTAACCCAAAAAAACCTCTTATGGACTAATTAAAATAACGAAGATGTTATCATTTCAATTCCCTGCGGGCACGTACAGGGCGGGCTTGGGGGGATATGAATTAGAATTCGTTTCTCAACGTTTTGAAGAATTTATTGGTTGTACGGACAAATCGAATAATTATGCGTCTTGTTTAAAACTAAAAATACGCTCACAAAGACATTAAACGGAAAATAGGGGGCAAAACGTTTCCGAGTTTACCAACAAACCTCAGGCTCGATCTGACCTTGGGGTTTAGGGCTGGGGGTGTCGTTTGGACGGTTCGCCCTCGGGCGCCAGGTTGCTCACAAGCTAATCGAGGGCCGCCCCTGGATCCAACCGTTGGCCCCATCTGTGTGTTTTTTGTGTCTTGCAAATTACAGGGACTCCTCTACTTACGAGCACTCGACTTACGAACTTTCGGAGATTGGAACCCGTCCGTTATGTCCAGTTGCCTATTCGGCCGGAGAGTCGTAAGTTCAACCGCCGCGCAATAGATGGCGGTAGTGGCATCTACATCTGCAGAATATAAAGAACCAGTGGCATCTACATCTACAGGAAGATTATACAACTTTTAAAGCCATTCCCCGTGCTTCGCGTTCATGTCGTACAACACGTTTGGAATCGACAGGAGTAAAGTTGGACTTACGAACAAATCGACTTACGAACAGACCTCTGGAACTTAACTCGTTCATAAGTAGAGTCCCTGATGTTATTTTCAATAATTGACGACTGTTTGGATGTTTCCACAGTGGCTAGGGTATGTTAACGACCTCGTCTGGTATATGGGAGATCGTGGGTTCCATCCCGACCCTGACCGCCTGCTTTATATTTGGAGTTTGCGGTGTCTCTCTCTCCCCGTGGTCACTTGGGTTTGTCTCCAGGTCCTCCGGTTTTTCCCTCCACATTTGAAATGAACATCACGCGTTTATAGTATTTGGCTGCTGCTATAAATGTTCACGTGATGATAAGCCACTTTAAATTTCGATTTAAAGCTTTCGTGACTGCAAGGATTCATCTTCTTTGGTTCTTTCGGTAAAGTCACGTAGAATGAGAATAAAATAATAAAATAACAATAAAATTCTCACGACGTTTCGGCCACAACGCAAGCGGCCGAAACGTGATAAGCCACTTTATTGGGTTATCATTTGTGGCCAGGTTGCTTCTGAAAAAAAGCTATATAGCTCAGTGGGCCTTACCTGGTAAAAAACGTTTTTGTGGATCAATCAGTTTCAAGCACAATGCATATATTATCAGAGTATGTTTTTTTTGCATTCTGACCACAAGCATTGTGGTTAATGTAGACATGATTCCTTGTAAAAGGTTTCAGTTTGGCGTTTTAACATCTTAACATTTGTTTTGTTGCAGAAAAAAGGGGAAAAACCTATATTTTGGTACTGGCAAAGGAGGTCCCATGATGTTTCATTTAGTTTAATCTTCCCAGCGTCAAAACTCTTAAGCTCCATTAAATCTTGACGACCTCTCTGTTCCTGAATACAGATTACATTTTAAAAAACCCATACCCCACCCTCTACCTGACTCTGCCAGGTAGAAGGCGGTGGTACAGCAACACATTACTCACTATGCTAACTACATAAATATGTAGCGGACACTCTTACCACCAACACGTGGACAGGTCAGGATTCCAGTCCGTTCATTCCACCTGCGTCACCCACACAGCTGTCTCTTCGCCCTTCCATCCACAACTCTCTCCACACACAGCTCCCCCCTTCATCTACAGCTCTCTCCACACAGCTCCCTCCTTCATCCACAGCTCTCTCCCCTCGGCCCTCTCCTCTCTCCGTCATCGATAGCTCTCTCCACTCCTCTCGCTCACTTCCCGTATCCCTCCTTCAAAGTCCCCTCTTATTCCCCACGGTCCACTCTCCCATCCCTCCCCATCCCCTCATTAATTCGCATCCACCAACCACAGATTGTCACACCTCGAACCGTGTCTCATCTCCCACCATCAATCCCCTCTCTCCATACATAGCCACGTGCGGAATGTTACCAAAACTCAAGTGAACATGTTGTTTTCAAAGATGTTCTCGTCAAATTGCCGTCGAGAATAACTATACCATCATCCACTGTTCCTGGTTTCAACATTCCCTCTTCTGTCGTGCATATCAAACCCAGCGATGGAGAGACATGGGGCTGTTGAGCTATGAATTGGTGGTGGTAGGGCCACTCCTCCTACACCGATCCCTCACCAACCGCGGGGGTTAGGTTCCCGGAAAATGCCACCGTAGGCAAATTTGCGGTTGGTAGAGGGGGTCTATGGAAAATACGCGTGGTCAGACTCGTCATAGCTTAACTAAGTCGCCTGTTTATTAACTAAAACACCGAATAGAATACAGCACATTACACAATAACATACATAAACATGACATTAACTTTACATACCTTTAATATTAACGATGATGACTATGACAATGAGATGATGGAGAAGGGGCTGGTTAGAACGAGGAGTTGCTCAGCTCCCCCTCCTCCTTCTCGTGACTCTTCCTCCAGGCCACAGACGCAACTCACTCACTCACTCCCCTTCACCACTCGCTTTCACGCTGCGGGTCCATGATTAAGGGGCAACATTAACGTGAATGTGGTTGCGACGATGCGACGCGGTCTATGCGCTGCGAGAATCACAGTAGCAGTCGAACCCCTCTTAACGACGGTAACTGGTTCTACAAAACGGGTAGTTAAGTGATTTGGTCGTTAAGCGAGTAGGGGAAATACGCGGTTAAAGGCTTAATTCGTTCCGATAGCATCGAAAGTTACCCCTTTGTTCACCCAAAAAAACATACTTTACAATATTTAACCAATGGATATGAATACACAAACATACTTACATTATAAACAATGTTAAAAGAAACATGGTCAATCAATGCATTAATGAATATTTACTGTACCTGAAACAGCCCATCGTTAACAGGGGAATGGTCGGTAAGCGAACGCTTTGGACTCTATGGAGGCCCCAACGTTAAGCGATTAGTCATTAAAGAGTGCTCGTAGAGAGGGGTTCTATAGCACAGTAACAAAACGCACGAGAAGCCGATCGGCCACGCAGGGCCACAGGTGGCGCTGTGGCGAACCACGCCCCCCCCCCGGGAAATTTGCAACGTCACGCAATACAATGACGTCACGCTGTAATGCATATGACGCGATGCCTTGATTCCGTGACTTCATTAAAACCATGCTTTACCCGTGGATACTCAAATTTCCCAGGCCTCGGTTGGTTTAATTGTTATACAAATAACAAAACCGTGAAATAACATGAAACTGCGGTTGACAAATCCACGGCTGGCATGGAAGAAAATAAACTGCGGAAAATCAACGTGGTTTCAGATCGGGAGGGAAATGCAGTTGTCAAATGTTTAGTGGCATGGAATGGGTCACTACATTGCAAAGCGCGGGTTGCTGGCAGAGAAGGCGATCTGTAGTTGCAGCAGCCCTGTCTGTCTGCAGGTCATGTGATAAGTCAGAGAGAGATTGGTAGAGGAGGCACGTGAGGTAAGCCCCGGGAACCCGCGAGTTGGTTCTATAAAGGGGGGCCTGGCCAGGGCAGAGCGAGGTCACGCTAGGAGGATAAAAGGGGACCCGAAGCGAAGGCTCAGGGCTGTTGCTTGGAGTGGAATCCCGTCGTGCTGCTGGAGTCTTCGTCGCCATCTATGTCTTCACCTTCTCGGCATCGTCAGTCAGGCAGTCTGCCAGCTGTCCTGAGAGTTGTAGTTACCTCTTGTGAGCTGTGAAGTGCCTCCTACTCCTAGTGTCTCTGAGTGCGTCACTACATATGTAAGGCATATCACAGAGAAAACGTTAGATTATGGAGATGTATGCATGCTTTGTAGACTTTTTCACAAGTATATGATTTGGTGATAGGCAGCCATTAACAATAACATTCATTCGGAATGTAACAATTCAGGTGTGAAATACATTTTTCTACGCTAAGCATACATGCATCAGACCATGCATTTTGGAATGATCTTCAATTGATGTTTATAGTTTTTTGTTTGTTAAATCCAACCGTGAAAAAAACGCAGTCAGAAATAAAAGAGCATTCAAAAACATTCAACGTCGCTTTACATTTAAAAAGAAAACGCTTCAATAGTGCGTTCTATAAAATGGCTGTTCACAATATCGTTCAATGAAAACCGTGTCCCACAATCCTTTGCACACAATGCGTTCTGGTTTTTGTCTTTTAACCGGTGTTGACACACGAACAATACTCTTTCCAACTCTCCTTGTACGACTGTTTGGCACCTCGCCAATTCTAATCTAATTGTATCCTAATAGAGGCAGCGCTTTCAATCAAGGCGCTCTCTTTGACATAGCCGAATGAAATGGCGACGCAGAATGGAGTGATGTTGTTGGCACTCGGGAGAAGTGCTATGAGGGTATTTAGGAGTGACAGTAACGATGGAGGGGTGCTTAGGGGGAAGGAGTGGAGAGGCAGGAAAGAGGAAGGGAATGAACGATGGAGGATAGGTGAGGCTTTGAGAGGGAATGGAAGGGGGGTTAAGGAGGGGGACTGCTAAATAAGTCTAAATGCGCACGCTATGCAAAACCCTCTCCGCAATTCTTGGACACGTTTTGATTCTCCCTTCGGGTGCGTTCTAAAATGCCTTTAATTCAGTTCTCACACTCCTTTAGCAAGTGTGGATTCTCCCTCACGTGTGTCCTACAATGCTTATTTAACTCATTAAGTGCTGCAAACCCCTTCCCACACTGCTTGCACACGTGCGGCTTCCCACCGGCGTGTGTTCTGGAATGCTTCTCTAAATTTGAACGCTCCGTAAACCTTTTACCGCACTCTCTGCACGCGTACGGCTTCTCGCCGGTGTGCGTCCTAGAATGAGTCTCGAGATTGTAACTCTGCGAAAACGCCTTCCCGCACTCCTTGCACACGTGTGGCTTCTCGCCCGTGTGTGTCCTGGAGTGTTTCTCCAAATTGGAGCGCTGCGTGAACTTCTTTCCGCACTCCTCGCACATGTACGGCTTCTCGCCCGTGTGCGTCCTCGAGTGTTTCTCCAAATTGGAGCGCTGCGAAAACCTCTTGCCGCACTCGTCGCACGCGTACGGCTTCTCGCCGGTGTGCGTCCTGGCGTGCGTCTCCAGGTTGGAGCGCTGGGTGAACCTCTTGCCGCACTCCTTGCACGCGTGCGGCTTCTCCCCGCTGTGTATCCGCGAGTGGGTCTTCAGGTCGGAGGGCTGCGCGAAGCCCTTCCCGCACTCCTTGCACACGTTCGGCTTCTCGCCCGTGTGCGTTCTGGAGTGCTTGTTCAGGTAGGTGCGCGCCGCAAATCCCTTGCCGCACTCCCTGCACACGTGTGGCCTCTCGCCCGTGTGCGTCCTGGAGTGGGTGTTTAAGGCGCAGCGTTGCGAAAACGCCTTCCCGCACTCCCTGCACACGTACGGCTTCTCCCCGGTGTGCGTCCTAGAGTGCATCTCCAAATGAGAGCGCTGCGGGAACCTCTTCCCGCACTCCTTGCACAGGTACAGCTTCTCGCCGGTGTGCGTCCTAGAGTGCATCTCCAAACTGGAACGCTGTATGTACCTCTTCCCGCACTCCTTGCAAACGTATGGCTTATCACCGGTGTGCGTCCTCGAGTGCGCCTCTAAATTGGAGCGCTTCGAGAACTTCTTCCCGCACTCTTGGCACGTGTGCGGCTTCTCGCCCGTGTGCGTCCTAGAGTGCGTCTCTAAATTGGAACGCTTTGAAAACCCCTTGCCGCACTCCTTGCACGCGTGCGGCTTCTCGCCCGTGTGCGTCCTCGAGTGCGTCTCTAAACTGGAACTTTTTGAAAACCTCTTCCCGCACTCGGTGCACACGTGCAGATTCTTGCTGGCGTGCGTTCTGGAGTGCATGTTTAAAGCGGAATGCTTTGAAAACCCCTTCCCGCACTCCTTGCAGATGTGCGGCTTATCGCCGACAGCGTCCGTCACTTCGCACCCTCTTGACTCCTCCGCCAATGCGGAATCCTTCCCGCGTGGTACACTCGGGCGCGGCTTCTCTCCGCTCCGTTTCCTCCTGTTCGTGCGTGGCGCAGAGCCTCCAAGCTTGTTCCCGCACCGCACGCAGCCTCGCAGGGCCTGACCGATGCCTTGCGCCTCATCCACCTTCCTTCTTAACCGTCGGCCACGATCCGTCTGGCACACTCTGCAAAGTAGTCCGGTTGAATTTCCTTCATCTGCTGCACACGGAAAAAAAACGTTGCAATCATGCAAAAGCGTGACGCGGGCAAAACAGTCCGCGGTGTGCGCGGCACAACTCCGGTATTTTTTAAATCAACATCACCGCGGTGATCTCACTGGGAGTCACTACGAAGGCTTGATTGGCAGGAACAAAATTGAGCTTTCATTGGGTATCTAACTAGACGAGACGTTTTTTTTTGGGCTGCATCTTCAATGCACTAGGGCAGGGTTTGTCAACTAAACGATGGTGGTGGTCTTCTTCAGCTTGTGGGATAGAAGAAGGGTGGCACGGTGGCTTAGGAGATGTTAACTACCTCACCTGGTATATAGAAGGCTGCGGGTTCAATTCTGACCCTGACGCCTGCTGTATATTTGGAGTTTGCGTGTCTCTCTCTCTTCTCGTGGTCGTGTGGATTTTTCTCCGGGTCCTACGGTTTTTCCCTCCACATTTAGAATCAACTTCAAGCATTTAGAGAGTATTTGGCTGCTATAAATGTCCACGTCATAAGCCACCTCTCGTTGAGCTATAATTTGTGGCCAGCTGGCTTCTGAAACAAGAGCTAAACAGCTCAGTTGGTAAAATAAAAATAAATTTCGATTTAAAGCTTTCGTGACTGCAGGGGATTCATATTTTTGGTTCTTTCGGTAAAGTCACGTAGAAGGGAAATAATAAAATACAAATTAAACAATAAAATTATCACGACGTTTCGATTGCAACACAAGCAATCATCATCAGGTGTGAAAACCCACCGCAAGAAATTTAGAAAAACCGCCACTTTCTTTAAAAAAATGTCTTGCTGTGGTTTTCACACCTGATGATGATTGCTTGTGTTGCAATCGAAACGTCGTGATGATTTTATTGTTTAATTTGTATTATTTTATTATTTCCCTTCTACGTGACTTTACCGAAAGAACCAAGAATATAAATAAAATTGTTTCTACTTTTTAAGATAATTAACAGTTTACTCATTTGCTGTTTCTTCCATTATAATATCATATCACTCCTGTCTCAACACGTCAGAACCTCCAGAACACAAATTGTTCTGCCACCTCACTTTCAACGTCCACCTCATTCACCATAGCATGACACTGATTAATGATTCAGCAGGAAAACATTGCATTTTTCTCTGCAACCATAGTGGAACTCACCTTGACCAACATCTTCCTCCAGCAACTCCACCTCGATGAAGTTCCGATCTGCAGTGGCCGGGCATCCTCCGTGAGGGTTCCCCGTCTCATCCGGCATCATCACAGTGGGTCCCTCGGCTTTGACGATCTTAACATCCTGAACTGTGATTTGGGAAAGGAAAAAACGCACAAGAGTTCATTATAGACTGAACGGCAATATGATAAGAGACATTTCGTGAACAAAGACGGTGGTCACCGATTCATCTCGCGGCGCCTTCAGATGCGCTTCTGCGGCCGTCTGGAATGCTCTTCCGATATTAGGTAGCCAGCAGGTTCTATGATGCAATTTTAAATCCCGATTGAAAACTAATTTCTTTAGAACCGCTTTAGTTTGTTGTCCTTCCCCCCGCACCGTCGATTAGCGTGGTCGGCTACGGACGGTGGTGCGACAGAAGCTCAACGTGCACACACTGAGATCGGAGTGAGGTTTTCGTGAAAGCCAAGACAAGGGTTCATGTATTTATCCCACGTGACGCAAGGTGACGTAGATGACCGTATTTTCCCGCATATAACCTGCGGGGTATATCACTTTTGACAAACAAAACAAGACCCTGCGGGGTATATGGAGGTGCGGGCTATCCACAAAAATATTTTACACGTGTGACACGTCATAACTCTTTACATTTTTTCATGTTATGACTATCCACTATGCAACACTTACCTTCGACTAAAGCACTGCTGAGTAAACCACTCGCACTAAAATTGCACGTGTTATCACATTTTAAATGAATTCTTTGTACAATTAAACGACAATGTTTGAAGTGCGCGCACTGTTTACCGGCGACGGGAGAGCTGGGGGGAGGGAGAGGTGGAGGGGTGGGGCAAGGCAACGGCGTCACCGTAGTGCCGCAATTATCTGCGCAGTGCGCAATCTACCAGTGCTAAAACTGTACTTACATATCTACCAGTTATGTGTTACTTATTTATTGGATATTTACTTTTGTTACTTATTTACTGTTTTAAGTTCACTCGTTTCCGGTTCGTTTTTTTGTTCTTTGTGCACGTTATGATTTTAATGTTAACGATTGATGGCGGAATGTATTACAAATGTAAACTTCATATTAATATGATGGAATTAAGCTGCGGTAACGACGTTAAAGATATTAATGCATGCGGGGTGTACGGAGGTGCGGGCTATCTGAAATTAGTTTCACACGAAACGCTACCTTTGCGGGGTATATGCGTCTGTACGGTACTTACCTACTCTGAGAGACACACAGAGGCGCCTCCGTCCATCTCACTGGGGACGGGGTTCAGAGACACACAGGGGCGGCTCCGTCCATCTCACCGGCAGCATCGACGACGTCTTCACGCTTTACCGTCAAGTCGGGCCACGTCCCAGGACACGCGCCGTCGTCGCGCTCTTGCTTGATGAACGCCACGTCGGGGTGAGGATTCATCTGAGGGGCAACGGACATCGAGAGCCGTGTCCGTCGCTAATTGTTCAGAGGTGGTGGTGGTGGTGGTGTGCCACCGTTGCCGATAAAAAGACAGCATCATCACCTGCAGTGCGCGATTCGTCAGGTTGTCGCCACGCATGATTTGAAACCGTTTGGGGGGTTTGACAGAAGCACGACGACGACGATGATGATGATTATGGGGGTGGCGTTGTGCAGGGAATCCTCGGTTTTACGCGCTTTTGTCATTTTGGAGCAACGCGCGCTGTGTATTTAGACCCTTTCGTTGACACGCGCGAGGCGGTGTTCGGAACGACGTCGTCACCGCAGCGCGGCGAACATCGCCCTCGCCTGGCACCGCGACCCCCAACGGCGTTGCCAGCGGCCAGTGCGGCGTAGTTACAAGCAAGTAATACTGCATTTCTTTATTTTTTTATTTTGCAGCAAGTATATTAGAGTGTACACGATTATATTTTACGAATTTTTAAGGAGTATATTGTGTGTACATGCATTGTATTGATATAAGCCGGGGATAATAGAGGCGATTACTTCTGTGAATGTGAGCGAAATCCCCTAACCCCCTCCTTTACCATTATATCTGGTGGGAAAAAATGCCTTTGACATATGCGATTATGAGATACGCACGTTCTTCCAGTAACGCATCTAACGTGCATGTCAAGGAGTGCCTGTATTGTCAGGCACAGTAGGGGGCACAGGTGGTGCATCAGCCAGTCATCTCAGTCAGTCGACCCGTGGCACCTGCTGGGTCTGCCCCGTGACCTCCTGCCAGCGGGCGTTCGACACTTCACGTGGCCTCAAGGTGCACATAGCCTGGCACAAGCGTCGTGGTGTCACGTCACCGCCACTTAGTGGTGAATGGCGGTTGTTGTTGTATTGTCAGGGAGCGGTGGGTGTAGTGGTTAGCGCGTTTCGCTATGAACCCGGCGATCCGAGTTCGATTACCGCTCACGGCCAACACCAGTTTCGATTATTTGAACCGGTCCCGAGCCTCCCCTAGGTCGGCTCAGCCTCAAATGAGTGCCTGGTGCGGTGTGTCGTAAAACATCGCCACTGGGGAGACAAAGGCGGCCGGGCGTGGTGCTGGCCACCCCTCCCCTCGTGTGCCATTCCGGCCTTCGTAGGTGCTCGCTCACGGCACTTGTCCCAACATTCTGTTACAGGCTACATGGGGGATCTTTGTCTTTGTATTGGGGGGGGGGGGGCACTGAAGGCCGACGAAGGGCCGCCAGTGGCCCCGGTCGGGCGATGCAATGAAGAAAACTGAGTGGATCGCAGTGTGAATGTGAATTCACCCCTTGTGGTTAAAGGTGGACATGGTACGAGCGAGTGGATCGCAGTGTGAATGTGAATTCACCCCTTGTAGCTAAGGGTGGACACGGTGCGAGGGAGTGAATCGCAGTGTGAATGTGAATTCACCCCTTGTGGCTAAGGGTGGACACGGTGCGAGAGTGAATCGCAGTGTGAATGTGAATTCACCCCTTGTAGCTAAGGGTGGACACGAGGCGAGGGAGTGGATTGCAGTGTGAATGTGAATTCACCCTTTGTAGCTCACGGTGGACACGGTGCGAGGGAGTGAATCGCAGTGTGAATGTGAATTCACCCTTTGTAGCTAAGGGTGGACACGAGGCGAGGGAATGAATCGCAGTGTGAATGTGAATTCACCCTTTGTAGCTAACGGTGGACACGAGGCGTGGGAGTGGATCGCAGTGTGAATGTGAATTCACCCCTTGTAGCTCACGGTGGGCACGGTACGAGCGAGTGGATCGCAGTGTGAATGTGAATTCACCCCTTGTAGCTCACGGTGGACACGAGGCGAAGGAGTGGATCGCAGTGTGAATGTGAATTCACATTTTGTAACAACAGTGGACAGACACGGTGCGAGAGTGAATCGCAGTGCGAGTGTAAATTCACCCCTCGTGACAGCAGTGAACACGGTGTGAGAGACACACAGTGAAAGTGAATGGCTGCGTGAGTGTGAATTCACCTCGCGTCTTGAGTGAATTTCACCACCAACCTTGCGAGATCGCTCCAACGCAGCAGCAGCGACCACGCAGCACAGCGACGAGACGCGGGACAAGACGCGGGACGAGGCGGCACAAGACGCGGGATAAGACGGCGAGACGCGGCACAAGACGCAGGACAAGACGGCGAGATGCGGCACAAGACGCAGGACAAGACGACGAGATACGGCACAAGACGCGGGGGACAAGGCGGCGAGATGCGGCACAAGACGCGGGACGAGGCGGCGAGATGCGGCACAAGACGAACGTCTAGACGACGCCGTGGTGGCGGTAGCGACGGTTTCCAACTCTCGGATGAAGGTCGCATGCATTCACGGGAGATGTTGACTACCTCGCCTGGTGTACAGGAGGTCGTGGGTGCGATCCCGACCCTGACACTGCCTGCTGCTGCTGTATATTTGGAGTCTGCATCTCTCTCTCACCATCATCATCACGGTGGCTAGGAGATGTTGACTACCTCGCCTGGTGTGCAGGAGGTCGTGGGTGCGATCCCGACCTTGACACTTGCCTGCTGCTGCTGTAGATTTTGAGTCTGCGTCTCTCTGTCTCTCCCCGTGGCCACGTGGAGTTTTTTTTCTCCGGGTCCTCTGGGGTTCAAGCCCTCTCCCACACACATTTAGAGTCAACGTCACAGCGTTTAGAGTCATTTGGCCGCTGATGTTCGCTTCCACAGGATGATGGTGACGTAGGAAGCGGCCACTCCGTTGAAGCTCTCATTTGTGCGGGCCAGCCGGCTTTACCTGGTGAACATTTTTTTTAATGTATATAAAGTTTCATTTACGTGCATTGCGGCTCTAAGGGGCCGTCCATAAATGACGTCAGGCACCTAAGGGGGTGGGGTCAGACATTTGTGACGATGTGTGACGAGGTGGTGGGGGGGGGGTGAGAAATGTGACGTCACACCAAAATGCGCAACTTTAAATAAATATAGACAACACGTTCTACTTAATTAAATAGACTTTTTAATAAATGTTTTCTCCTACAACATCAGAGTGCATCGCCACATTAAATACGCAACTACAATGACGATAGTTTAAAGCGATTTGAAGCGTGTTTTATTTTCAAAATGGAAATGTTTTTTTGGGCGGGGGAGGGGGGGACAGAGCTTTGTGACGTCATATTTGAGGGGGGGTCAAAAATCGCGTGACGTCATTTATGGACGGCCCCTAAAATTATTTTGGGAGCCCTTGCGCTTGAAGCTTCAACTATGCGAGTTCAACTCAACCCCCGATTAAGCTTGGATTGAGAGCTGAACTCGAGTTCAAGAGAACTCGCAAACAAACTCCGCGCACGTTGTCAAAGACTGCTGTGGTGGCTTGCGCAGCGGGTGACTGCGGTTTAGGGGTGGGCACCACGAGCAGCTTCGTGGAAGATCAATCCCCAGGGTCTCTTCCGCGTTGGGTCTTTCGCAAATCGCTTTAAACTGTCGTCATTGTAAAATTTCGATTTAAAGCTTTCGTGACTGCAGCGATGCATATTCTTGGTTCTTTCGGTAGAGTCGCCACGTCGAAGGGAAACAATAAAATAATAAAAATATAAAACAATAAAATTCTCACGACGTTTCGACTGCAACACAAGCAGTCATCATCAGGTGTGAAAACCAACGGCAAGAACATTTGAAAGGAGTGGCGGGTTTTATTGATTTATTTTTAAACGTTTGCACCACGGAGAGCGATTTGACAGTTTGTTTAGATGGACGAGTCCATCTATGTTCGGAAAAGAGGAGGGGGGAAACGAAAAACGTGACTTTACCGAAAGAACCAAGAATATCAATCACTGCAGTCACGAAAGCTTTAAATCAAAATTTAACCGCCTCTACGGGGAGGGTTTCCACATAACTTTAAGATCCTTCAACAAACTCCGGGATAAGAAGGCTCAGCTGATCGAGTCTCTCACCTTTCTGAAGAGATGCCGCGACTCTGGGGTAATACCAATCGCATTTACACTGACCTCTGCTGCTGTAACTTCTTCTAATGCGAAACGAATTCTTTTACATTAATTTTTCGTCTCCCCCCTCCTCTTTTCCGAACATAGATGGACTCGTCCATCTAAACAAACTGTAAAATCGCTCTCCGTGGTGCTAACGTTTAAAAATAAATCAATAAAACTCGCCACTTCTTTCAAATATTCTTGCTGTTGATTTTCACACCTGATGATGACTGCTTGTGTTGCAGTCGAAACGTCGTGAGAATTTTATTGTTTTATATATATTTTATTATTTTATTGTTTCCATTCAACGTGACTTTACCGAAAGAACCACGAATATGTCGTCATTGTAGTTGCGCATTTAATGTGGCGCTGCACTCTGATGTTGTATGAGAAAACATTTATAAAAAAAAGTCTCTTTAATTAAGTAGAACGCGTTGTCTCTATTTATTTACAAAGTTGCGCATTTTGACGTGACGTCACACTTCTCAAACACTCCCCCCCACCCACCTCCTCGTCACACATCGTCACAAATGTCTGACACGCCCCCACCCACGCACCCCCTAGGTGCGTGACGTAATTTATGGACGGCCCCAAAGGGGCTTGCGGCGTGACTTCGAGCGATGGCGAGGGTCGTTATCGATGTTCCTGGTGAATGGGGAAGGCAAAAACTAGCGATGCCATAAGGGGCGTGAAGTTATGCTCCAGCTACGTGTGACAACACAACTAAGTATGGCTAATGCGGATATGTAAATTTTCACGCGAAGAAGGGTTACTTGTAAACAGTTTATTACTTCGATGTACACGTGCATATCATTGCTATGAGGTCGCAATCATTACACACACACACAAAGTTCTTGCCACATATTCACCACACTACCTACGCTGATCTCGTCAACTCCGGTCATCATCGCGCGGCGCTTTCAGATGCGATCCTGCAGCCGTCTGGAACGCTCTTCCTTCCGACATTAAGAAGCCGCTTGGAGCTATGATGCACTTTAAAATCATCATCATCATTATCTCGATTGACAAACTCATTTATTTGAGAGCTGCTTTTTTGTGTTCAGCTTGTTGTCCTTCCGCCGGACCTCCGATTAGCACGGTCGGTCTACGTACAGTGCGAAGCAAGTTCGGCGTACATTTTCATTCTGATATCAATATTATGATTCGGGCTGGAGACGACCCCCATATTTACACTCCACTTTCAATGAACTGAACTGCTACGGTGGTGAGGTGTTAACTCCCTCGCCTGGTATGCAGGAGGTCGCGGGTTCGATCCCGATCCTGATCCCGACGCGTGCTGCTGCGTATTTGGAGTTTGCGTGTCTCTCTCTCTATCTCTCTCCACGTGGTCGCGTGGATTTTTCTCCGGGTCCCCCCCCCGGTTTTTTCCCTCTCCACATTTAGAATCAACGTCGCGCCTTTTTGGCTGCTGCTATAAATTTCCACGCGGTGATGAGCCCACGTCGTTGAGCAGCTATCGTTTGTGATGGCCAGGTCGCTTCTGAAAAAGAGCTACATACATAACGGCTCAGTGGGGCCTTACACCTGGTAAAATGAAAAAAAAAACGTTCAGTTGAAAGTGAGGATTCTGATTCAACTGGGACATGATTGTTGTAATACAAGAAAGAATTGCACTTCATCTGCGATTGTGACCAAGGGGAGAACACGGACGCTCCAAATATACGGGCGTCGGGGTCGGGATCGAACCCACGCCCTCATGCGTACCAGGCGAGGGAGTTAACAACCCCTCGCCCCCGCGGCACCCCAATAAGCGAGACGGGCATTCCTCGAACTACGAACTCCAGATTAACGTTTTGTTGCTTTTACAAAATTTGAATTGAGCGCTCCGGGGGGGGGGGGGGGTGGGGGGGACTTCGCCTCCTTCACCGACGTCCTCCTTTAAAGTTTTTTGTTTTAAATAGTTTTTTTTTTCTTCCAAACAGTTCCATTCAGTTTGAACCGCGACCCACCAAGGCGCTCACTCCGCGGCGTGCTTCAGCACGTGCTTCTCCAGATTGGAAAGGTGCGCGAAGCCCCTCCCGCACTGCGGGCACGCGTGCGGCCACTTCCCCGTGTGAGCCCTCAGGTGCTCCTCCAGGTTGGAGCGCCGCACGAACGCCCTGCCGCACTCGGCGCACGCGTGCGGCTTCCCGCCGGCGTGCGCCCTCGCGGCGTGCTCCTCCAGGTGGGAGCGGCGCGCGAAGCCCTCCCCGCACCGCTCGCACGCGTGCGGCCGCCCGCCCGCGTGTATCCGCGCGTGCGTCCGCAGGCTCGAGCGCGTCGCGAAGCCCCTGCCGCAGTCGCGGCACGCGTGCGCCCGCCCGCCCGGGACGTGCGTCCTCGCGTGCGCCTCCAGGGTGGAGCGCTCCGCGAACGACTTCCCGCACTCCCCGCACGCGTGCGGCTTCCCGCCCGGCTCCCCGCCCTGGACGCGCGCCCTCGCGTGCGCGTCCGCTGGGGGGCGCGCCGCCAACGCCGCCAACGCCGCCAACGCCGCCAACGCCGCCCCGCGCTCCCCGCCCGGGACGTGCGTCCTCGCGTGCGCGTCCAGGGCGGGACGCAGCGCGAAGATCTTCCCGCACTCGGCGCAGGCGTGCCCCTCCTCACCGGCGTGCCCCGCCTCACCGGCGTGCCCCTCCTCACCGGCGTGCCCCTCCTCACCGGCGTGCCCCTCCTCACCGGCGTGCCCCGCCTCACCGGCGTGCATCTTCGCGTGCCTCTCCAGGTCGGGGTGACGCGCGAAGCTGTCCCCGCACTCCCCGCACGCGTGCCGCTTCCCCTTGGCGTGCGTCCTCGCGTGCGCCTTCAATTTGTAGCCGTACGCAAACCCCTTGCCGCACTTCTTGCACACGTGAGTCCACTCGCCCGTGTGCGACATGGAGTGCGCGTGCAACAGGTAAGGCGTCGTGAACCCCTTGCGACAGACCCCGCACACGTGCGGCTTCTCGCCCGTGTGCTTCCTGCAGTGGATCTTCAAAGTGAACCACCGCGTGAAGCCCTTCCCGCAGTCCTTGCACACGAACGGCTTCTCGCCCGTGTGTATTCTCAGGTGCGTCTCCAAGCTGGAGCGCGACGTGAAGCCCCTGCCGCACTCCTTGCACTTGTGGTTCTTGCCGAACGTCGAGGAGGCCTCTGGGCGCGACGGGGCGAACCCGAGCGCCTTTCCGCACCGCCCGCAGGTTGGCGGGGTCTGCCCAGCGACGCGCGCTGCCCGCTCCGTGCCCACGCCGGGGCGTCCGCCCTTGCCGCCGCACTCCTCGCACGGGGCCTCCGGTTCGTTTGCTTCATCCGTTCCGTCGTCTGACGCAAGGAAGACGAAGTAGAGCAAAAGAGTGAGCGTCGGACGTCTGGCAGGTCGCGGGGTGGTGCGCGGGTGGGTGTCCCCCTTTCACCGCCGAATCTCGGAACGCGCGAGCGG